GGCGAGAGGGCGAGAAAGAAAACTGGAAGTTAGGAACCTCTCCAGATCGCTCAAGCGTACCCAACGACGCAGGGCGTCGAATCCTTCACGATCGTTCCAGGACCCGGGCGCTGTGTCCTTTGGTATAACCGCATTGCTGTCTTCTGCCTACACGAGCCTCTCCGGGCTGTCTATTCGATATATGTTATTCAAGAACGGCGCCTACGACCCGTCCTCCTCGTCCAGTACACTTATACTATATGCGCCTACTTATACTCTAGTCTTTTACTCCTCCACTCCATCTCGGCTCCGTTTCATTATGTTCCGCGTGACTCCTCGGTATGTTCCGTCACGGCCTATTCTGTTCCGAGCAAAGTGATTCCTCGCGGAGCGGCCTTATTTGGCCGGCAGCTTCACTCGCGCGCTTCACGGCGGCTTCTTTTTTCAGAGGAGCAATTAAGCGTCGAAGGGACGTTATAATAGCGAGAGTCGCGTGATTCCACGGTGCCTTTGTGGCCTCCTCCTCTTCTTCTCCTTTATACTCTTCCTCTCAGCGCCCACTCCCATGCCACGACTCCAGGACTCCTCTTCTTTCATCCACGTTCTTTCTCTCTTATTTCCCTCGCTCCAGCCGGCCACCGTGCTGCGCGAGATTTATGTCCCTTCCTTCGCCATCTTTCCCGTTGGGGCCCGTGCCCTGCGCCTTTAACCCTTCGTCACCCTCTGCCACCCGCCGACCAACCAAGAGAGAAGCCTCAACCCCATCCGGAAGATGCTGGATCTCTTCGGAGAATCTAAAGAAAAAATATTTTTAATAGTACAGCAAAACTAGTTATTCACTCGGACCGAAGAAATACCGTAGTCAAGATACGTGACGGATATACCGGGACTTACGTAGCTACAATAGCGAGGACAACAGTAGGCGCCTCATTCGGGCCCTTAACGACTCCACCGCCAGTCTACAAGGTTTTGTCTGCGTTTTCACGTGAAAAGTAAGCAGAGGGGAAAAAGGCCCCGACTAACTTGTCGCACGATAAAAGCCGCCCGCCACGCCAGGAGGTGGTCCCTGACCGGAATAACGAGCCCAAGAGTCGCTTGACGTATTGGAGCCAGATGCCTGCGGCTCCTGCAGAAACTCCCGGACTCCCTGGGTACCTCGCAGACTTGTCGGCCATTGCGAACGGACCTTTAAACAGGAACACGTTATGTTAGTACACGACTACGCATATGACTATTTGCAAGTAACATCAGGGTGAATCGTCACTTTAAAGTCAGGTAGACACCCTGGTAAATAGTAACCAACTAACCGGCGTCCACTATCATATTCCATAGTATCGTATGCTCGGTGCAATCCACCACGTGGTACGTATACAGTCTGATTCAGTAGAAACGTACCACCTTTGGCTGTACCATAGGAATCAAATACGCAGGCTAACTTCAGTTTGCCTATCTGACTTTACTGACTATGTACATCTATGCATAACATGAGCGCCACCGCGTTCCCAGCATCTTCAGGATCATACTCGCCACCCATCCGCAAGATCAGAATAAGGGGAGTTTCATGTAAGCAGTCGCATCCGTATCCTATGGCATCGGTGCACCACGCACTGCGGGAAGCAGCTATCATCCACGCGAGGCTGTCTTGTAGCCTCCCGACGCGTAACATACATCCTCGTTAGACGCGACGATATTTCAGCAGCCAGCCGCGCATTAACATCCTCGTGAAATTCGTACAGCGCGACCGTTAATTATGTCCACTGGTGTTAATCCAAAGAGATATTAGTTACCATCTGAAATAGAGATTGCGTCTGGTTGTAGAGATGGGTATACGTATAAGCCTACAGTCTGCACCAGAGTACAGTAAATGGTGTGATAAATTTTATGCGTCAAGACAGATACCTTTTTCGTATGTATAATTTCTCAATAATTTTCACGGGGATTCCCCTCGGGTTCATTCAGACTTTT